GGCCGTCCCCTCGGTGGGGTGAGGAGCCAGCACACCTCTTCCTTTACAGGGAGCCTCAACCCTTTATTCTGGTGAATTACTTGTATAACGGATGCACCTGGAGGCCAAGTCCTGGCCAGGACCCCCTTGTGCAAGGTGCTGTACAGACACAGAACAGAAAGAAAGTCTCTGTCCCCGAGAGCTGACGATCTTTCTGCTGGCCCACGGGATCGTGGGCTGGGGGAGGCTCAGAGGCCCTGATTCGGTGCCTTCAGAGATTCCCCCTCCCATCTCCGTGTCAGAGCACTAGGGTTAAAACAACAACAGACAGGTTGGCTTGGTGATGGTCCACCCTTCTCCGGCAGGTTCAGGCAGTGGGCTGGAAGGGGGCCAGAGCACATCCTGCTGGCAGAAGGGTAAAGTGACCCCAGAAAGGTCACCCAGCAGGGCAGAGCACGGAACCCAGGGGTCCTGGGGCTGAGTGCAGGCCCCAGCCAGGCTATGGGGCCCTGATATCAGCTGGTGCCACCATAACACACATGAATAGGAATAGCCGAGCTGCTGGGAGACATGGCCGAGCGCTTCCTGCTCCCAGGGACGCCCTAGTTCCTGAGGCTCCAAGGAGACAATCAGAGCCAATGCGCGGCTTCCAGCACCTATTAATCCCCGCCAGGCTTCATGGCCACTTAGCACCAGTGAAGGAGGGGCCGAGCCGCCCGCGGGGAGGCGGAGGCAGTCAATCACCCAGCCGCAGCGTGTGCTCGCACAGAGGTAGGGGATTAGGTTGGATTAGAAACGCCTTTGGCAGCTCCCATCAAAGCCAGCTGCTGAACACTCAGGCCCGGGTCAGGATCTAACAGCTATTTCGCTCCCCCACACCCCCCCCAGCCACAGATCTTGGGAATATATCCCCTGCCCCATGGTCCTGGGATAGACATCCCCTCCCACAGTGCCAAGCGGGGGCCCACTGGTGCAATCCTCACGTTAGCCACAGCACGTTTAAATCCACCCATCATCTCCATCCACAGACCGAGGGCTGTCTGAATAACGAGTGATGCGGCTCGAAAACCTCCTTGGGGCTAACCCAGCCCACCTGGTTTGTCCAGCGATCCCTGTCGAGAAGTCCTGTCAATAGGCACCTACCAGCTGGTCTAATTACTGACGTGTATTACGGTAGCTCCCAGCCGAGATCCGGGCCCTGTGCCATCGCACGCCAAGACACAGGCCTTGCCCTAAAAGGCAACTGCATAAGGACTGCCAGGGGAAAGGACCCGTCTAAGATCACAAAGCAGGGCATGGCCAGGACTAGAACCCGGGTCTCCCGAGTGCTGGTACAGCGCCCCTAGCCACTACACCACACAGCCCTAAGAACCCCCCTGAGCTCGGGAAAGCACACTCCCTCCCAGGGTGCAGCCCCAAGAAGGGGCGTGATTTGCCCCAGGCCCCACCCGCAGCAGAGCGGAGCCCTGAGCCCTGTTCCATTCCAGGGCTTTCAAGGCCAGAAGGATCACCCAGTCCGACCTTCCACGCGAGAGGCAGGCCGGCCTTTGAGTTTCATGCATGGGGGGGAAGAAAATGCAGCTTAAGTCAGCCCCCCCGAAATAGAGCTGACGCGGCAGCCCTTCAGCGAGGAATTAATCACAGGGAACAGCGTTAATAATGGCCCTCGGACGGAACGTTCTAATACCCACGTCCTATTTCGACGCCGCTTTGATTTGCGGCTCCAATGCTCGGTGAACTTTCAGTCAAAGGTAGGACTTGAAAAGAAACGTAGAGGCCTTTTCATTTCCATTTGGTCTGAGGAATTGGCACATTTTAAATGCCACCGGCGTTCTCCCACAGATAATGACTGTCCGCGGGTAGTAAATTTCTCAGATTGGCCAGCCCAGGGCAGGAGATTTCTTTTTTAAACACCCCCCGCTGCTCTAGGTGGCAAGAAAGAGCCCTCGCCCCCTGTGAGAAACGAGGAGACAGACGCAGCAAAGGACTAAGACACTTCCTGGAAAATCACAAGCAGCCTCGTAGAGCGAGCACAGCAGGCTTTGCACGTCCAGAGAAGTCAGAGCCGGAAGCCCCCGGCCAGCCCACAGCTCGATGGGGCCTCCATATCGGAGAGCGTAAGTCCCTCGAAGACTTGCAAGTCTGTAGGACAGGCTGGTTCGGGGCTGGGGACTAGGACAACGGGCCTTTTCCCCCTAGAGGGCACAAGATCTGATCCGCTGGTTCTGATCCCTAGAGCGGGGGGACTGGCTGGGGCAGGGGGGGGGGGATGGGGTTCGGGGCCCTTTCCCGG